TTTGACGTAATCAGTCGTATGAGTGGTGACAATGACAACACAAAATGAAAACATTTTAAGGCAAACATACAGCTGAGAGATGAAAAATAATAAACTATTTACACATCCCTATGGTGAGTGAGGAGAGAGTTTTATGTTGAGGAATCTTTGAGCCCCATGAAGATCCGGGTTAGAATTGGTCTTCAGCCAGCACACTGCCACAAGCATTGGTGATGATTATTTTATTCACAATACATTTGCAAAGAATTTCTAATGTTCAATCACACCAGCCAGCACACTGCCACAAGCAGATAGATATGATGTCCTAATTGATCTTAATTGGTACTACTCTAACCTCTTTACTTTTACTAGTCTACTCTACAATCCTACTCAGTGCCTAATTGATCCTAATTGTCCCAGTAGCAAATTAGTTACCACCTTACTGACGCGACCTAATTGATCTTAATTGGTCACACCAGTTGTCCCAATTTTGGCAGTGAGATACAACACCTGCATGGTCCAGTGCACAACAGACTGCCAAAAATGGGAAATCACCGAAAAATAGAATACCTCAGGTTTTTAATACATACGTTCATCTAGGAACGGACCACACTATTTTCACAGAGACACTATATGAGAGAAAATTTAAAAAACCTCTTAGATTTAGATCCCAAAAAATAAATGAGAATCAGACATCATTTGATGTAAAACGAGTCCCTGCCAAACACCCCTCTGAATGGAACAGCCAAATACTCGCATTAGAATTCGAGGCCTTTTTTCAACAAAGCAAGCACATGCTTGACTGGACGGAAATGGGTTTTGGTGAAACGTTTTAAAAATCCATCAGAACATATGTTTTTATGGAAATAGGTTTACGCAAATGTCTATGTGTGAACACGACTTTGACCGACCCGATGCGTAGCGGTTAAATCAAAATACGCCACGCCCAATAATGCTGTTATTTCTTTACCCAATTTTGAAATGTAGCTTTTGCAGCCAATATTTACACACCCCGGAATATATTTTTCGAACGCTCCTGCACAAATATGCAATGATTCATGCAAATAAACAGGCAAACCGCTAAAATATCTTAAGAGGAAATATTATTTCTGTATAGGTCAGGTGGGAATGAAATTGTGTTAAACGTCGGGGTCAAGGTCATTTCATTTATGTAACAACGTGAATGCACGTGTGTGTGCGTGCGTGTGACTGAATGTACTAATTGGTACGTGTATAACGTGGCAGTTGAATACTTTTGTATTAGTGGTAATGATCTTATCCGGTACATATGAATTCAAAATTGTTAGCGTGGACTAACAAAACAATATTTTTCGGTCAATCTCTATGTCTAATCAATTAATTATTTTAAAAAACCTGGTGAAAAATATATCGTTCCGGCAAATCTGTTTGCCGAGTGTGTCCATCTTGTGTTATGCAAGTCTGGCACCTTCGTCTCTTTGAGATTTACAGACATATAGCTGTAATATTGCTGAGTGCGGTGTAAAACTAAACTCACTCACTCACTCGTCTCTTTGAGGCCACTAAACGTTGATGAAAGATTAGCACCTTCAGCACTTTATATGTTATCTTTATAGACACCGCCCCCACCTTAAAAACTAAACCAAACAAACACCAAAAGCAACAAAAATCCGTAACAACATTAAACATAAAACCCCAACGAAAACACCCCGCCAACCTCCCACAACCACCCCCCACCCCCAATCCCCACTGGACGCTCCGGTAATCAGTAAAATTCATCACAACGATAAACATTGCTTGTAAAAAGAATTACACAACCGAAATTTCCAGACATGTCCTTGAACTCTAAAAAACACACGGTAATGTCACATTTTGGAAGGCATACATGCATGAATGAAGTAACTTCCTACCAGCTGTCGTGTGCCCATGGCAACCGTCACGTTCTATGCAGGAACTCACAATTTTGGCCAGTGTGATGCTATAAAAAAAGACCTAATCTGTCATTGATGAGAATTTACAGTGTGCAAAATCTTAAACATGTGATTTTGATTGCCAATTATTTTCATGACCCCTATAAAATATCTGTTAGAGAACTATGCCCACTAAAATTGTGCGAATAGAAGAAGTGTGGTCATGTATAAACTGTAGCATGGTATCTTAGTGCGATGGTAGTGTAAAGCCGGCAATGGTCGGGGGTTGTAAAAGCAGCCACGCACGCACACACGCACGCACTCACGCACGCACACGGGACGTTAAACCCCATTTTGAATTCACTTCTGGTCGGTGGGGCATCTGATTGAAGGCCTGGGTTCGATTCCCCACATGGACAAATGTGTGAGGCCCATTTCTGGTGTCCTCCGCCGTGATGTTGCTGGAATATTGCTAAAAGCGGCGTAAAACCCGACTCATTCACTCACTCAATTCACCTCTGATCATTAAGAGTGAGTGAGTGAGTGAGTACCGTTTTACGCCGCTTTTAGCAATATTCCAGCAACATCACGGCGGGGGACACCAGAAATGGGCTTCACACACATTGTACCCATGTGGGGAATCACAACCACACACACACACACACACACGTGACGAGCGAACGCTTTAACCACTAGGCTACCACACACCGCCCCGATCATTAAGAGTCAGGGTCTGAGGATCAGGATGGTTATACACCACAATATTCCAGCAATACAACGGCTGGGTCTTCAGTGCACTGTGTACCCATGTAGGGAATTGAACCAGGGCCTGTGACGAACGCTTTAACCATTGTGTCACCCCGCCATTGCCCCGCCATTGTGTTACCCCACCATCTTGTGTCAACATTGTGTCACCCCGCCATTGTGTCCCCCACTTGTGTTACCCATGTGTTACCCGCCATTGTGTTACCCCGCCATTGTGCCATTGTGTTATCCTACCATTGTGTTACGCCGCCACCACCATTGTGTTACGCCGCCATTGTTTTACCCCGCCATTGTGTTACCCCACCATTGTGTTACGCCGCCATTGTGTTACCCCACCATTGTGTTACCCCACCATTGTGTTACGCCACCATTGTGTTACGCCGCCATTGTGTTACCCATTGTGTTACCCCCATTGCCATTGTGTTACGCCGCCATTGTGTTACCCCACCATTGTGTTACGCCGCCATTGTGTTACCCACCATTGTGTCACCCGCCATTGCCATTGTGTTACCATTGTGTTGTTACGCCGCCATTGTGTTACACCATTGTGTTACGCCACCATTTGTGTTACGCCGCCATTGTGTTACCCCGCCATTGTTTTACCCCGCCATTGTGTTACGCCGCCATTGTGTTACACCGCCATTGTGTTGCTACTGTTGTGAAAACCCTACAATACAGACTTATGACTGAGTGCCCTTATGACTGAGTGCCCTTATGACTGAGTGCCCTTATGACGTCATAGATTACGTGACGTCACGGTGTAAACTTAGCGTAATACAAATAAATTCGTATTTGAATGTTATTGCCTGCACTGATGGAATGAAATGAATGACAAGTAATCTAAAATAGAACGACTAGTTATTTCAACCTTTGTAATCATGGAAACACTATTGCCGTTCAACGAATGCACGACAAACCAACAACATCTTCAATGTAATGTGTGATTGTCCACATCAGAACATAACTATGTCAATCATTACGTCAATCATATATCAATCATGCATCAAGGAATACAGTCAATCAGACAAAGGCGAGGTAAAGCCCTAAAATCTGGCACAAAGCGGTTGATGAGTGAGTGAGTGAGGTGGGTCTAACGGTACGCCAGTTGCATCAAGACGTGTCAGCTTCACGTGGGAGGAAAGCCAGAGTGAGTGAGTGAGTCCAGCCTTACCCATGATCAGCGGATCCTGGATCATTTAACGGACGCAACTCTTACGACAAGAATGGGTTGCTGACTCTGAAACCCATGTCATCAGACTCAACTCAGTCACAGACTTTCTACAAGGGCTTCCTCGACTGTGATGAATATACAACATTTGTGATTAGCATAACACATACGTCAGCATTTGTTCCTCGGGTTCTTGGACACAAGTATTCATTCGAATAAATAAAACTTTTACTTTTCTTCGAAAAAGCTAAAAATCTTCCAAAACAGAATAAGTATTACAAAAACTGCTTTTAATCCAAATATGTTATATTACTGACTTAAATTTCCCCATACCCACTTCTTTCGTTTTGTCCATTTGTATGGGTTCACTTATTTCGCTGATTCAATTGGAATAGATTCACATAAAAAAATGCATGTTCTTGATCACGAAAAAAGGAAAAGAAATATAAGAGGAAATAATGTTAAGATGCCAAGGGGAGATTCCGAAGAACAAATATTTGTCTCAGTATGAATTTATGAAACGACATGTCTCAAGAAATCACTCCATATACAGGTATATATACATTTTACACAATCATGACAGCATAACTATACATTCATGCAAAAGCAAAACAAGGGACCGGCCATTTGGTAATAGAAATAAAATGTCGAAGGAGATGATATCGCTTCAAAATTATCCCTCCCGATAATCCGTCACCCAACAAAAAACATACAATAAAAAATGATAGAAATATATAAACTGAAATTAAACTTAAAACAGAAGATAAAACTTTTTCTTTCTTATACAAGCTGTAAGCTATAAAATGGTCGGTCCCTGTGGTATCATGAACAGTTCATTAAAGACAGGTATTCTTCCTCTTAATTATACTCCTTTAATGCCATCTTTTGTTTATCTGAGCAATCAAACACATACACAATCAAACATTTGGTCAGTCGGTGCAGAAACATCAAACTGGTTTTGCACGAAGACGACGGAATAAGTATGCAAAGGAAGATGTATTCTTCAGTGAATACTGAGTTCTGTCTATCTGAGACAGTACCTGAGAGTTAGACTGGTGCAGTGTATAGTAGGCGTCCGACGTCCATAGTTCGAGGATCGAATGTTTCTTTCCACTTCATAACATATAAACAAAATGAGGTACACACCTGGTGTTTTGGGATTATTTAAAATTAAATAAAATCAAATAAAAACCAGAGTAAAAAATTGAAAAGACTTTTAATTGTAACTTACACCAGGTGTCTACTTTCTTTTGTACTTCAGTATAATTATCATATCACGCCTGTAAATATCCAAGTCATGAACAGGCAACCCATGACAAGCTGCTCAAGCTGTTGAGCTGTATGGTCCATGATTGTTGTTATAATGTGACATATTGCTAATTAACGTCAAAATGACGTAAAACACTTTGACGTCGTCATGAGCTGGAGTTGTCTGCCCTTTGGCTCGCGACCCCCCTCACTTTGTCCTCAGTGAATAAACACAAACGTCACAGGTCATATATTTACACCGTCGTGTAATAATAATCATTTCCTTAAACCAATTACATCACTGCACGTCAAAAGACGTCACGCTGTGAAAAGAATTGTTCACACTGAGAAAATGTATAGCACAATTCACCTTCGTGGTATAGCCCTGCAGCACAGTATGTCCCCGTTGTGGTATAATCGTGTATATTCACGTCATGATTCCATTCAGTTCCTAACCACGTATGGCACAGCGTATGGTATACACTTCACTTCCTTTAAATACAAATGAATTGGTACTGTCTTTGCTTTGAAAGATTATTTGCAAAAAGCAACATTTTAACATGAAGTGATCATGTCTTTGAAATATAGAATTCCTGCATGTAAGTGAGAGGGTAAGTTCTTTGGCATCTATAAACTCCATACCCGAGGTAAAGGAGGCCTCGCACCGTGGTCTATGTCATGTCTAAGCATTGCACTGAGCCAAAATGTAATTCCGGCAATAGTTGCTTGGTTGTTAATCATCAGAGATTCACTGGCAGACACAAAGTGAGTTTTGAAGGATTTGGATGAACTGTTCTTGAGCTTAGTCCCTCTTTGACGAATAACGAAGTCATTGGAACGACGTCTCTGGAAGAAGATTGGACCTATGGCATTGGTATAGGAATAACAAAGCGTGGTGTTTTATCCTTTATCTTTTGGGTCTTGTTAGTCTTGACTTGAGTTTTCTCTACCACTACTGCAAGAGCTCCACAAGAATGTTCGGTAACGGTTGGAGGTGGATTACAATCTTTCTTCAGGCAGATATCTGACCCCATTTTGTGCAATGCTGATAAATGATGGGGGAAGTAAACCTCCATGAGATCTATTCATGACCAAATCTACAAATGAGATACATTGCAGTTATTTCCCCTTACCAGAGGCGACATATATCCCAGATTGTACTTCTAGCCACTGAACTCAAGAGTTGATAAACACATGGAGTTATCTCCCCCTATTCGGAACCAATGATCTCCATTATACTTGCTGATCCATTGAACACACTTACAGAACGGGATAAATGGAGTTATCTGCCCTTATTCGGTGGCAGTATAGATCCACTGCTGGCCCACTGAACACTGTCAGCACAAGGGAGGTGACATCTGTCCAATACTATAGCAGATATTTACGGGTCGCTACGGCAGTTCAAAAGGAGTTATCTGCCCTTCATTAAATATGAACAAATCTTTGTTTGTGCCTCTCATGTAAGCGGCGAACATGCTGAATCCGCTCTGACTGAGGACGAGGACGTCGCACTTACTCAGGATCTGCTGTTCAAGCAGCGCAGTCTCGAATCCGTCACACGCGTCCCTGTCGTCACGTTGACGGTCAATATGGCGAATCTTTCCTTCAACAGTCAAAAGTCTGTTTCCAAACTCTCGTCTCGCCATATCTCGCACCCTCTCGGCATCTGTCGCTACAAAATACATGGTGTCTTTTCCGTATCCTTGAAGGAATCTCCACAGTTTTCGCACACTCTGTATGGAATTCACGTTTGACTGATCGCCAGGAATGGTTGGGTTTCGCCCAATACGGACATGCGCACATACAAGTTTATTGTGAAGGGTTTGGTTTATCTGATCTAAAGCCCTGTCGAGTTTCACTTTCATACTGCCAAAGGGTTTAAACAATAAATTCCAAACATGCCAAAAGACCTTAGACTTTGACCCTGACCTTGCCCATTCCGGAAGTAATTTTTTGTACTTGGGACGATGCGCTATAACCCTGGTAAAATCCATATTATCCCTTAAGAACACAACATCTTCCATGTGGTTGTCGTTGAAGTCTCCTTCAACGAGGCTTTTCTTAAGTTCAGCGTCATCCATGGCGTTGATATGGTCTGAAAACGGTAGCCTTAGTACACTCTCGCTTACAGTCCAGTTGATTTTATTTGGAGCGAAGAAGTTGTCCAGCTGACAGGGGGACTGCATCCTGATACCGTACCTCCGTCGGGTCACTAACGCCAGGATGAACACTCCCATTATCCCCCTTTGTCGATCCCCAAACCCCCACAAGTCGTTTTGCGATCACACAAGTACACGAGGTATTTTTTCTTGTTTGGCTGCGGGAGATCGGGAAGAGGTTCCAAGAAGCTGTCCGTGTCAGTTTCTTTCTCGATACTCAGTTGAGCAATACGTCTATGGATCTTGGCCTTCACTGGCTGCAGCATCATGTTTTCTGCACTGATCTCAGACTCTTTGGCACTGGTGGTGCCTGCAATGTTGGTAACATTCAGGTGTTTGATCCAACCAAATTCTGAAACGATGGGTTCCTTTGCCGTGGATGGCTTCACGAATACTTCCGGTGATGTGACCTTGACCTGTGGGTCATACACATAACCTCCACGTGCCTGCCCAAACATTGTTTTATTGGTCCGATGAATGATGACATCATACAGATGTTGGGGACCACTTTGTCCATGCCAAGTCCTGAAGGTCAAGGACGTCGGTGCAATAGCCTCGTTCCCGACTGTGTAAATGTAGACTGTGACCAGAATAGCCAGCAGTGTAAAGAGTCCAAATACCGCCTTATAACGAGAGATCCACTCCATGCCTGAAAAAGAGGAACATATGTTTAGGGATCGATTGTTTTATATTCCGGGTTGAAGTATATGAATAAATTTGGCCCAGGAAATACCGTAGAAAACTGCGCCTCAAATATTGCCAAGATACGTAGTAAGTTTACATGTATTTTAATAATTATTTTATTTAAAAATGCATAATAAACGTGACTCGCCCCACTTGCAGAATGACCTGAAAAGTTATCGTAACGTTGTAGGCCTCTGTAAATGAGCTGTGATTAGGCCAATTTGTCGACCAAGTTTTAAAGATGTCCGACCTCACCTAAAGCATATCCTGTAGCTTACAAACATCCAAACCCCGACTGACAGTATTAGACTGTTATATCAACAGCGACTTTATGTTATTCCGTACAACTAGGGCTTCACATATAATTAGGGTTGACCCATCCCAACCTTTCCAGGGTCATGGTCACACTACTCTTTCTGTATTTTCGCAACTCGACGGACAGAGTTACATCCCCTGGCCGTTCAAGGATCAGCTGAACTCCGTTCAACAAAGCTGAGATGATTGTACACTACACTGTACGACTTACGACAGTAGTAACGCTATAATTGCTAAGATCGTTAAGACCGCTAAGATAGGTAAGATCATAAAAGGGCAATTTTAAAACAAATTGGGGGTGGGGTGGTTTATATCAATTTATATTTTCCACATTAACGGAGAGTTCTATTTCCACAATAAACACACCATGGATTATGTCCCTTGGAAATGACGTAATTGGTGCCCAACCGATAAACGAATGACGGTGTTGGACCTAATTAGACCCATTTCACGTGGTGCAGGTATAGGTGTGGTTCTTGTGTCTCAACGCGCAGGCTACACCTGTTGCTTGGCCGTCAGTTGGCTATGTGGTCACGTCCACACTGTAATGACGTTGCAGTTTGAAAAACACGTGTACATTGTACAAAAGGTGTTACCACGTAACCAAATTTTATAACATTCAACCTGATACAACAGTATCTTTTTGTCACAAAAACTAAAACCTATATGCACTACATCTAGCTCGCCATCGGTGAATGTGCCGGCATTCTACGCTTGTTACTTAATTCCTACATAAATTGTACAATATATGTCCCTCCTCTTCCACCTTCACTGTGATATCGATACCATATCCAAATACATAACGAAGATAAATGTTTTGGCAGTTTTTAATTTTGTTTGAAATTCGTTTTTCTATGATATCATCCGCTCATTGTTAGGTAAATATACTGAAAATTACATGCATAGTAAATCTGGCCAGTTTTGACACAATACGAAATGACCATTCACTGCGGTTTGCGTAATTTATAGAATGTCTTAATTCAAATTTCAAATTTTAATGGGAGAATTGAATTTAATAGCAGTATTTTAGTTGTTTGATCGAATCACCAATATTCGTTCTGAAACATTGTCGATGAACCTAGAATCTCTGAAAATCTTTTGAAAAATACGCAAACACAGTTAACGTCAAAGTGAATTTTCAGCCATATTGCAGAATGTTGATATCTATGTCGGTTATGTTTCGCCCATAAAATTAATTGTATAATTCACCACCATATAACCTTACACGAATCCCTGAATTACTAAATGCCGCGCCGGAAAGCACCACTTGTTTGAAATGTAATTTAAACAAAGACTGTGACATAGTGTGCCAACCGGTATTACTCGAGACCACGGGCATGCACATATCCACCCGACCATTATATAGTTTCAGGCTAGTGTATTATAACATCAGAAATACTTTCAAATTAATAAAACAAGTTAATGTTTCATTCATTATGTTTAATTCATTTTTGAAAAGGTGTAAGAATACGCGATTTCTTGGACTTCATTTACACCTGGTAGAGAACAATCCCTCACTATCACGGGCAAGGTGTTGACAAATTCCGGAGATGGGGTAAAAAGGGGCCTCAAATTTTGTCATTACAGAGCGATATGCATGCTCGCTTGTTTGTTGTTTACGCTGCGCTCAGCAATATTCCAGCTATATGAAGGCAATCGGTAAATAATCGAGTCTGGACCAGACAATCCAGTGATCAACAGCATGAGCAGTGATATGCGCAATTGGGAACCGATGATATGTGTGAACCACGTCAGCGAACCTGACCACCCGATCCCGTTAGTCGCCTCTTACGACAAGCATGGGTAGCTGAAGATCAATTCCAACCCTGATCTTCATGGGTATTCTTGCTGAAAGAAAATCACAACACAAACACATGATGCTCTGATGAAAAATAAAATATTAAAAAAGTACATCTGCACTTACCTTTCATCCTAAAGAAAGAGAGACTGAACCAGAACACGGACAACACAATAGCGTGAAACTGTAGAAGAAACGTCATCTCCTCCAATTGTGACGTCACAGGTTAGTCAACCAAGTATTTCTGTTTATGACGTCATGGATTACAATGCCCTTCCGTCAGAGACTACACGATAAAAGCGCTCAGTAAGGACATAAAGAGACTGAAGGAAGCCAACAACAACGAACTGTGTCAGAGACTTTCTAACCCTTTTTAACATTAAGCCTAGCTACAGATACAGACATTATGAGAGGTCGCCCCCTGATTAAAACGCAGCCAAAATGACAAACTCACAGGCGCGATACAGCTGATATTTCTCTCCTCTGGGAAAGATAAGAATCTTTGAACATTGCTATCAAGCCTCAAATCTTTCAGCTGTCATGAACCCTCGCGAGATTGAGCAAGAAGGTCGTAATCAGAGCCAGATTCCGAATTCATCACGTGTCAGCCTTTCAGTGACATTAATCAAGATGACAACTGCGATGCTATCGAGACAGAACGAAACAATATGTCGTAAAAAACAAATATAAGTATCGTGTTTAAAACGTCAGCTGATAAAACTCATCGAAATAACATTCTAAACTTTCACGATGATGATGGAGAGGGTGACGGGGTTGGGCGTCGTTACAGAGGGCGTGGACACGGTGAAACAGAAATATGCGTTAACACAGGATGTCAGGGTGTCAGTACTGTCCGTCTCACAGTCTCTGAACTACATTATTTCCCCTGCTGCCTAGCCCTCCTAGACTAACGAAGATCCGAGGTAGAACAGGTCTTCAGCAACCCATGCTTGCCACAAAAGGCGACTATGCTTGTCGTAAGAGGCGACTAACGGGATCGGGTGGTCAGGCTCGCTGACTTGGTTGACACATGTCATCGGTTTCGAATTGCGCAGATCGATGCTCGTGCTGTTGATCACTGGATTGTCTGGTCCAGACTCGATTCTCTACAGACCGCGACCATATAGCTGGAATATTGCTGAGTGCGGCGTAAAACTAAACTCACTCACTCCTAGACTAACGCTTAGTCTCTGAATATATATAATTTTGACAGTAAAAATAAACCCACTTAAATTGAAAAGGAGCCAGAGGCAGTTGGGAGATTCAGGGCTTTAGCATTGCAGGGAGGGCTAGGCATCAGGGAAAATAATGTGGTACGGGAACTGTGAGACTATAGGCAAGTTTAGATTCCCTCAGGTTCGGAATATCCCATCTGACTGGGGCTCCTTTTCAATTTAAATGGGTATATTTGCTACCATAAAAGGTATTCATATATTTAGAGACTAAGCGTTGGTCTAGTACATACGATGTGGGTCCGTTGTAACACACATTGGCGTCAACAGCAGGGTGGACGCCAGTACTGCCTGACGCCATCTAATCGAGATGGGACGCCAATACAGTTTGACTCCAAAAAAGGGAATGAAGTAAACGAAACGCTTTTAGAAACCATTTCCTTCTCGGGTGTGTCGGAATTAATAATTTTCTTTTTACAAAAAAGAAACATTAGTTTTAGACTAAAGTTGAGCCTCTGAAAATACTGTGAAACTCATTCTGGTGTCCGATCGCCTTGATATTGCTGGAATATTGCTAAAAGCGGAGTAAAACTAAACTCACTCATTCTGAAAATATATAAATCTGAGAGATACAAACAGCCCTATTTCAATCATGAGTAAGTTAAGTTTTACGCCACTTTTAGCAATATTCCAGCAATATCACGGCTGGGGACACAAGAAATGGGCTTCACACATTGTACCCATGTGGTTTATCGAGCGCGGGTCTTCGTCGTGACGAGCGAACGCTGTAACCACTAGACCATCCCACCGCCTCCCATTTAAATCGATAAGGAGACCCAGTGAGATGGGAGCTTAACCTGAGGAAATCTAGACTTGCTTAATTTAGAGCGTTGCATCACAATGAGTGAGTGAGTTTAGTTTTCCGCCGCTTTTAGCAATATTCTAGCAATATCACGGCGGGGTACACCAGAAATGGGTGTCACAAATGTACCTATGTGGGGAATCGAATCCGGATCTTCGGCGTGAGGAGCGAACGCTTTAACCACTAGGCTACCCCACCACCCCGCATTGCATCACAGCCTGGGCCGAAGGGAAAGTAACATGGTCCAGAGACTATAAGACAGTTAGGTTAATGTGGTTAAACCTAATGATATGAATTCACATCTAGTCACGAGTACTACGGGTTTTGACAAAACATTTAGATTTATGTATGCATTGTGTTCCAAACACAGAACGTACCACCCCTACCTTGCCCCTCTAAAAAATGGACTTGTCAGATTGTTCTCTATCCCGCTCAACGTAAAACACATATTTTTCGCATCTGTTTCAAAGCATCTGTTTCAAACTCGATGGGATTACACCTATATTTTGGCATACATGATGTTCATCACAGAAATATCATGTACTGATAAAACACAGAAACTTACAGCATAAACACCATTTAATCAAGAGTGTGTTTTTACGCCGCTTTTATCAACACCAATCACAGAAATATCATGGACAAAACACAGAAACTCTTGCACCTAATTCCATATTTTCACAGGCATACAGTTTTAAAGATCCAAGGAACTATCATCACATATATATATCATGTACTGATAAAACACAGAAACTGTGTGATTTCTTATTTCAGCATAAACACCATTTAATCCAAGAGTGAGTCTAATTTTACGCCGCTTT